TGGATACACTGAAGCAGGCAACCAGAAATACAATGTTTAGTGACTGGCTAAATGAATGGTGGGAAGGCCCTACTACATCTCCACATTATATGGAATCTGTCAGTCATGTATCTGGAGGTTTGTATTGAGCAAAGTCAATTATTGTCTAATAACATAGACAACAAAGCACTATAGATATTTATTTTTTCAATTCTACTTCTCAGGTTCTGATTCCCATGGCAACTGTGACCATAAAAATGATTCGGTTTTCAAGCCTGGATGGAAAGAGATTTTTAGGATGAATGAAAATGAACTTGAATCAGAAATAAGAAACGTTGCCCGGGATTCAACCATTGACCCTAGGAGAAAAGATTATCTGATTCAGAACTTGATCACCAGGTTGTTATACTTTACGAACTTTATATAACCATATATCTAATCTGCAATTCACTATTCTGATAGATTAATGGGGGTATGTTAGTCGCTGGATAGCTTCTCAGCAGATGCTACCCCAAGCCACTGCAGGTGAAAACTCAGATGCAAAAGAACTGATTGCATGTGCCCCATCATTTCGTGATCCCGAGAAACAGATTTTCGGGTGTGAGCATTATAAAAGAAACTGTAAGCTTCTTGCAACTTGTTGTGGCAAGTTGTTCACTTGTAGTTTCTGTCATGATAAAGTCAGTGATCATTCGATGGACAGGTAGTTGCATCTTATTTTCTTGATTGTATGGATATCCCATGATGTATTTAATATGTTTTATTTGTTTCCAGGAAGGCTTCAACTGAAATGATGTGTATGCGCTGCCTCAAAGTTCAGCCTACTGCATCTGTTTGCTCAACACCAGCCTGTGGTGGTCTCTCTATGGCAAAGTTCTACTGTAGTATTTGCAAACTTTTTGACGATGAAAGGTGCACATATCTACCATCACATTATCAGTGCCATGCTCCTCATTGAGTGACAGGATTATAATCATTCTTGTGCTTTGTGGAGTTTAAAGGGAAAACTAAAAAGGAATTCAACAGATCACTAATATTATTATATTGAGTTATGGGTTCTGAATTTTGTAGAAGATACTCCGTTACCATTTTCCTTATAAACGTCATGGGTATAACTTGTCATCCAAAAAATATTATAGCATGTTTTCTTCATGCACTGGATCATTATTGAGATTTAACAGAAAAGATGATTTATTGTTCATTTTTTGTGCCTGAACTTCGTAAGCATCTCAAATCAGCAGAGAAGTGCAAGGAGTTCTTGTTATTAGCTTCAATCATTTTGGCTGGGCTACATTTAAACCTCTCTCCTCTCACAGTTTATGAAATTGATAAACTAGATGTTTTATCTGTTGAAGTTTCTTTGATATTTCTTCACTTGTTTATTTCAGGGAAGTCTATCATTGTCCCTTCTGCAATTTATGTCGTCTTGGGAAGGGACTTGGTACTGATTTTTTTCATTGTATGACATGCAACTGTTGTTTGGCAATGAAATTAGTTGATCACAAGTGCCATGAGAGGGGCCTAGAAACAAACTGCCCTATTTGCTGTGATTTTTTGTTCACGTCTAGTGAAAGTGTTAGAGCTCTCCCTTGTGGCCATTTCATGCATTCAGCTTGTTTCCAGGTCTATTTCTTGGATTCTTTGCTTTGGTTTTGATCTTTTCAGAAAAATGTCAACTTGAGAAGCTATTTCAGTGGACAGTTTTATATCTTTTTTTTGTTACATGATGCAGGCTTACACTTGTAGCCACTACATATGTCCAATATGTAGCAAGTCCTTGGGAGATATGACGGTATGAAATTTTCTTTACCAAACAAGCGCATGATACATTCATTATTTTTTTAAAGTGATCCTCATGTTTATGATGCTTTCATACAACGTTATTCAACGAATTTATCTTGGGGCAGCGGGCGGTGGGGGGTGGAGTCGTTAGTTTTCATGATCTTGAATCAATGATCAATGTATTATGTCGACCATTTGCTTAATGAACGCTAATTCTTATATTTGGCACACAATAGTCAAAGATCAAGGTTGATTCATTGATGCATTTATGCATGAATGAGCATGTGAAATTGAATTGAGGTATTAAAAATTCGAACAGTATGTAGAGTTTAAAGAGCTTGCAAGCCTGATTAGAAAGTCCAAGTGTAAATGCTTCTAACATGTTTGGTTATTAGTGAGAGCTACTATTGTTGCAGCCCAAACTTACCGCTAACATATATTGTCCTCTTTGAGCTTTTTCTTCAAAACTTCTTCGTAAGGTTTTTAAAACGCGTCTGGTAAAGAGAGGTTATGTTTAGTTCCCATCTCGAATCGATGTGGGATCTCACAATCCACTCTCCTCTTTGGGGCCAGCGTCTTCACTGTCGCTGGCACATTGGTTAGTGATGGTAACGAAATATTTCTTATAAGAGTGTAGAAACCTCTCCTTGATTGGCACATTTTAAAATCGTGAGACTGATAGAATACATTACGGGTCAAAACGGACAATATTTACTAGCGGTGGGCTTGAATTGTTATAGCTATTCTCTTCAACTTGCTAGCTACATCCATCCAATGGGAATTGTTTCTCTCTCTCTACATGATCTTCAGCTCATATGAAGTTAGTGAGCATTGATAACAGTGATATGTATGTCTGAAAATACCATCATTCATGTTATGTTATACAGGTATACTTCGGCATGCTTGACGCATTACTGGCATTGGAGGTACTCCCTGAAGAATACATGGAACGCTGTCAGGTAAACCTCACTTTTCTTGCCTACCCTCTACATTTGTAATGACTGAGTGAGTGAGTATCGGTCAGGACATATTGTGCAATGACTGCTCCAAGAAGGGGAAAGCGCGCTTCCACTGGCTGTACCATAAATGTGGGAATTGTGGATCTTACAATACCAAGGTGATTAAGGTTAGTTCAAGCTCCGCACAGCAATGAATTAGTAAGCGTCAGCGCCTCTTGCTGTCTACTCGTTTGTTCAAGTGTGCCCTTATGGCATGGCATGGCAACAGTAGAAGGACAGCATTTTGTATGGCTTTCATAATGGAAAATGGACAGATAAGTGTAAATTAAGGGAATTCAGGAGCTTGCTGATTGATCTAATCTAACACAGTTATTTAGTGTTGTTGAGAGGTGGAAAATGCAAGGATCCAAGGAATTATGTTTGAGAGTGAAATGGGTAATGTATATTTTTGGTTCTAATTCATGCCAACCAATTTCTTATAATCAGAAACAGAATTCTTGCCTTTTTTCTCTTAATCGCTTCAATTATTTTGGATTTCATTTTTTTTTTTGTGTACTTGTAATTTCAACGTTCCAAATTTAGTCTATATATTTTAAATAAATTTTAAAATTTGTCATTCAAAGTTGGTTAAATAATGATAATACTTTTTATGGAAGAAACTATATTATCTTACTATATTTGAAAATTTTATAAATGGAATGCCAACAAATATTATTAAAAAAAAAAAAAAATTAATAAAAATACTTTTGAATTTTTCCATTTATTTTAAAAAAATACCCGTGGTATTTGATTTAAAAAATAACATTCAACTTTAAAAATTAACCTTTTAATTTTAAAAAATGTTTTGAAGATACTTTTTCTTTCATTAATAATTTTAACATTTTAAAAAAACTTTAAAAATAATCTTTTACCTGGTTTAAAAAATATTTATAAACTTTAAAAAGTAATATTAAAAGGGAGATAATATATGAAAGGTTGACATACCACTTGCGTTTGCGTTTAATAGAGGTGAAAGGTGTTAATACTGCGTTTAAAATTTAATGGGTATTTTTTTTATTATGATAATTACGTAGATATTTTTTAATTATTTAAAAAAGAATTATTTATTGATATATACCATTATATTACATTATTTATGCAAATTTACGTAAGGAAATTTTGTATTAAATTCAGTACGTGATGGAATTACTAATTCCATGAACAAAATGTTTAATGCAGCTCATGTGATAGTTTAATTGCAACGGCCCCCCACCTTTCAACCAATTAACATATTCTCCTATTTAATTATTTAATAATTTTAAATTTGAAGTAATTTAATTAATAAATAAAAGAAAAACAACTTCTTGGATTCGATAAATTATTTAAGTGAAGCTAAACAGTTTTTCATTCATTATAATGTTCCAAAATTCGAATGGGAAAAACAGGAGAGGAAGGAAATTTCCGTCAATTGAAAGCGACGGAAAGGGTGGACGGAAAAAAAAAAAAAAAAAAAAAAAAAAAAAAAAAAAAAAAAAAAAAA